TACGTACTAAAGATGCTAGGAACCATTCAGATCGTTACCTAGTCTAGTAATCGACCAGATTCTCAGTTGCTCTGCATACTCAGAACACTAATCTCATGCTACTATCTAGGATACGTGCGGCCCTTACCTCTTTTCTAGGCTAGTACACTAGGGTCGACTGTCTCAGCATGAAATCTAGTCTAGCGACCTTCTCGTTCTAGTCTCATTAACTAAAAATCACCAAGAGAATTCTCTTATTCTATACTCGGTACTATGCGACAACGTCACAACGATGCGCAAGACAATGTGCCTGGGACGATTGTGAATGCCGTTGCATATTTCCTGACCAAAACTATGCGTGAGCAACCAGACATGTAAATCGACAAAAACAAGAAAAAAACCAAAAACGAGACAAAAAAGAAAAAAGGAAAAAGAGAAAAGGGAATGGAGGGGAAAGGGGGGGGGGGAACCAAGAGTCCACAAGAGGATCCTTCACGATCAGAGTTTACAGCCCTTATGCGCCATCAACCACAAAACCCAATATGTGAGGCAAAAGAAAGAAGGATTTTATACGTTAATTTTATAGGTCACATGTTCCAAACTAGTAGGGAACTATCGGTCGGGGTTTAATTTTAGATAAAAGGCGCCCTCATAAAAAAATGTAACGCTACAGCTCCAGATTATTAAATGTGCATCGTTACAAAATTGGACCATTATACATTGTGATCCCAATGTCCTAAAAATGAGTACCAATCAGGGGGACCTTTGCTAAACATGATAGAAAATACCAAATCATAAAGGGAGTCGCACTAAGACGTCTATAATTGACAGCAAGTGAAAACTGACTACGAACTGGGGTGTGGAAAAACTGAAGTTTAAACATTGGAACAGGGAGGAGAAACTCTGGTAAGGGCAATGTGGGAAGGCTGTTCTTTCTTGAATAAGTGTTCCCTCGGAGAGGGACTTCCTCAACACCACCTCCAACAAAAAAAAGCTTGCATCTTCTGTTGCCTATCGGTTCTCGTTTCTTCCTGACTCTTCTTCTCCACCATCACAATACCAAAATAACCCACCACCGGAAAGTGGCGTCGCGATATCGACTACAAATGACGGCTCCCATGTCTTTCGGAGCCAACTGGGAACTGCGGCCTGTAGGTTGCGGGCATTAAGTATAGCTGTAAAATAAGGGGTCGTCTTGATGAATACACAAAAGGTTAAATCATCATATGTTGTGTGGGTGGGAGAAAATAACAAAGATCCAGTACCATTTAGGTCCAATTAGTTTAGGGAATGTGACAAACGGTATCATCATGGCTGACATAATTTCGAAGGGGGTAAGTGTGTGTGAAACAGTAAAAATGTAATAACAGGCATAAACATTCGTCCGTTAATAATGGGAAAAAAATGTATTGCCGACCAAAGTGGCTAAATTAACAAAGAACATAACCATTCATAAAGGACAGCACGCAACAAGCAGCACAATTTAGTACGTTGGCATACTGTAAGCTTGCCAACATGTCATTCGACTCAAAGAATAGGTCACTACTACATAGGTAGATCGCTAACTTCACAGGTTTATTTCTCTCCCAGCTAACAGCACAGAGGCCCCTGTAATCAACAGACTGATGATGACGTTAAAAAGACAAAACCAATTCACAGCGGAAGAAGGTCATCACTAATATTAACACTTAACCAGCAACGGACACATAAATGGTCAAGATCCTACATAAATCCATAAGAAATTTTATGGGTATAATACATTGCAAATACTTTATACAATCAATTTTTTTTGCTTATTTAACATATACCCCATCCATGGCGTACATATGGAAAATAACACCTTCACCTTTGTTCTTCTGCCAACAACACGAATTCTTCACAAAGCAAGTTTATATTCTCACTTGTGGAGATAAGGTTTTTGCAGGAGGGACCTCTCCTCCTCCAGGATATCGTCAGTTGACTTCTCCCCACGTGTGTCCTTCCACAACTTCACTATTCCCGTGGTTGTATATGTATCAGACATAGGAGACGAAATTGGTTGTGGAGAATTGGTTGACCTAACTTTCTACTTTATCAAGCAAGTGGGTGGAAGTAACAGGCCAACAACATCCTGAATACCTGGCTAAGCTGAGTGTGCAGTGAAAGAAAGGGTGGCCTAAATGTGTTCGTCCTTTAGCAAGCAATTGAGGGAAGGACAGGCCAAACAACCATCCTGAATACCTTGGCCTATAACTGGAGTGTTTCAGTGAAAATAATCCTCGGAGGAACTTTGGAAATAGGGGTGGCCTAAACTTTTCGTACTTTTAGCAAGCAAGTGGAGGAATGAACAGGCCAGCCAAACCATCCTGAATACCTTGACTAATAGCTGGAGTGAGCAGTGGAAAGAATAGGGTGGCCTAAATTTTTCGTACTTTTAGCAATCAATTTGAGGTAAGGACAGGCCAACCAACCATCCTGAAATACCTTGGCTATAACTGGAGTGTGTGCAGGTGAAATATCCTCAGAGTGACTATGGAAAATAGGGTGGCCTAAAACTTTTCGTACTTTTAGCAAGGGCAAGTGGATGAAGGACATGCCAACCAACCACCCTGGAATACCCTCGACGATAGGCCCTAGGATGCAGTGCAAATCACCATTTTCAGGCCAGGGTTGACTATGGGGAGTTGGGTCTAATAGAGATTTAGTGCACACATGAAGCCATCTGGAATGGTTGACACAGCTGGTGCCTTTGGGTGTTACTGAATTTTAACCTATGTAAAAATAACTCACTTGTGCCTGTTGCATAGATTTCTTTTCAAATGATGATATAAGTCGAAGAGCCTGCATTGGGGCAAATGGACAATGGAAGGCTAAATCACCAACCACACTTTATTTTGCCATGTATAATACATAAGGTGCAAAGGGCAGGGGAATATTTATTCCCTTGAACACCATCCCCATTCCCACCTCCAGCAAGAACGTAATTAGTACAGCATCTCCTGCAGGACTTACTATAGTTGCTCCTTAATATACTAGAGCTGGCTTCCTTCCCCACACAAAACACCCCACCAATGGTGCCTATGAGGTAGCTATAGTAACTCACCCGTGGCGGTTCTTCCTCCTGACCATCTTCGAGACCATTCTCAGGGGGTGGCTCCACTCTCTGGTTACATAAGAGGAGAACACAGACAAGAACAGTGAGCCTATACTATATATACTCACAACAAACGAAATGAATAGCCAACAGAAAGAAAGTGAGCAAAATTAAAAAAGTTCGTCAAGTGACTGTGGTGGCTGTTTCCTATCATGCACGAACAGACTCAGTTTTGTCAACAATTACATTTTATATGCTAATTAAGCCAATCAACAGAAACACTCACGGTAGAGTTAACAATCTCCATGGTAGCAGTTTTACCACTTGGACTGACCTGTAATATTGAAAAGGTTTAATACATTTCAGGTAAGCTTGATCAATCAGTAAGACAATATTTAATATAGGTATCAGTGTCCTCGTTTCATGGGGTGTCCTACTTTAGAGAGGAGAGATGTGTGCTTTCAGCAACTCACAGGTGGAGGGGGAGCTGAGGTAGTTGTGGGATTCTTTATCTTCTCTTCTTCCGGCTCAGGGGGTGTGGTCTCCTGATTGCTCGTTGGGACAGGGGCTGCCTCTTTGGCTGGCGGCTCGACGGGTGCGGGAGACGGTGATTTGAGAAGAGGTTGAGTACTGGAGGAAGACAAGGAGAACTTATCATCACACATAATGACATAACATGACATAGTGTCCCACACATGGTTGCCTTGGGCTGTATTTTGTTGTATAGTTAACCAGCCACAGACACATAAATGTTGTCCAGAGCCTCAAGAATTTATATGGGGGTTATAATACTAGGCGCTAATACCATATACATTAATTTCTGCTTATTTAAGCAGATCCCCATGGCGGCCAAAGGGTCAAAGCTCAGTGCCTGGGAGTGCACTGGAGTTCCACTGTAAACACACTTCATTCAGTTCAACTCCCATTCCTTTCTCTTTCCCTCCGGGCTTGTGTACTTTTGCCACCTTCAGTTGCATGTGCTAACTATTTGACAATAATATATAGGAAGAAGAGTTGCCCTGGGTGGGATTCGAACCCACGACACTCTGCAGTCTAGATGTACTAACTATTTGACAGCGGGAGGTAGAGGAAGATAAACAGAGAACACGTGCTGTTTAGGGACCAGTGAGCTCTTCCGTGAGAACTACATCAACAATTCATGACTTGTGTCATTTATACAAACATAGTTCTGCAGTTTATGCAACATTCATAGTATATTGTGCCATAGCACAGTGGTTTGAGGTTTGCCTTGTGTTGTGCTGTGTTGAAGATTTGAACCCCTACCAGCTCAGTTGCCCTGGTAGCTCAGTTGGAAGAGTGCTCGCCTAGACTGCAGAGTGTCGTGGATTCGAATCCCACCCAGGGCAGCTCTTCTTTTTTCTTTGGAAAAGAAAGAGCTGTCCTGGGTGTAGTTGACTTGTTTGTTGTGCCTTTGCCTTTCTACCTCGTAGTTTTCACATGCACTTCATGGCTACATACATATATACTCCCATTTGGAAGAGTTTTACTTACGTCTAAAGAGTACAGCTGTTTACATATGTAATAATAGCCTGATGTTTCCATCCCTATCCTAAGACTGCCAGAGAATGGTGACTATAGAGTCAATGCAACCATCAACTGGCACTAGGTAAATTCATCCTACAATTGGTACATTGTACCAAGGAAATAATGAGGTTACGGTAGTTAAAAGGAAATCAAATCTAAAGGTGACTATATAGTGGTAGACTTTATTGGTCTCCTGGGAAGGCAGTGACCCGCCAAAAGTTTCCAATGTGACAAGAAAGTAGCCAGTTTAGTTTACATGTTTACTGCTGTAGCCACAACAGCTGCTACATTTACTGTCTCCCATGACATTCGAGACTCAGTAAATCCGAGCTACCAGGATAGCTGTGAGGTTGTATTTACCTTGCTACCGGGGTGACTTCAGGCTCTGTAGGGGGCGGGGTCTTCTCCTGGGTGGGCGTGGCCTGACTGTGAATGGGCGTGGTCTTCTCCTGGGTGGGCGTGGTCTTCCGTGGGCCTGGTGATTTGACCCTCTCTGACTTGGCAGGAGGCGCTGGTTTACTTGGTTTAGCTGGGACTGTGTGGGGAGGACACAACATGACACCCTCAATTCCATTTGATGCCCACCTACATCCCTCCTTCCCTCCCTCCCCCTCTTCTTCTTTCTATATGTGAAAGCGTGAGCCGTTTAAGTTTTCATGTGCAATACCGACTCGGATTTTGAAGCTTAGTTGGAGGCACTGCATTATCATGAGCAAATCAACGCCATGTTAATCGCAACGGAACTCACTGGGAGTGCTGTCTTTCTTTGGAGCAAGTGGAGGCTTTTCCTTTGTTCCCTTCACTTCCTCTGCCTCATCTGACCTGCTGCAAGTACAATACAATACAATACACAGTGTCATGAACCTCTCTAATCTGGACACGAATGGCACAGAAGCAAGTGTCCATATTAGGAGCAGCTACATATCACAGGTTCAGTTGCATGAATGTAAGAACTTTTCTTGGGGAAAGGAAAAGTGTACTTTAAGAGAAGTGTCCTCATTTCAGGGGTGTCCTTAGAGAGGGGTTCCACTGAATAATAGTTAAACAGTGAGTCCGTGCAATCTATGCAATTTAGTAGGCCGAGGGCGCGGCCTGTAGTGCCGAGAGCGCAGCGAGGATGCTACTAAGGGCCTGAGGCCTACTAAATCACGTACATAGATCTGCGCTTGATGAAACTAATTCAGAACTCACACAAAGGTCCTAGCAACAGCTACTACATAGCTGGCACTGTCCAAAAAGAAGCACTCAAGAACTGCCATTATCGCTATAGTTCTAATTAACGCGCACCTTACTGCGTGCAAGTTTTGCACGTGAAGCGCGCAACAAAATGCGCGCCCCGGGCACTTTAGTACACACGGTCGGAGTTACTAGGAGATTTAGTAAACACACGTTTTCATGCATGAATGAGTTCTATTGCTATTGCTATTGCTATTGCTATTGGCATTGGAGAGCTGTGGTACCTTGAAGAGCGATGTTTCCTCTTGCTATCAGGATGGGAGGTAGCAGTGGCAATAAACTTCTTCCTGGTATCAGCTACACTGCTTGTGGTCCTATAGAATACACATGTACACATGAGATAGTTGGTCGGTAATCGTTAACCCTTAGCAAGCCACGGGCATATATATTATAATAATATTTGTCATTGGATTCAAATTGTGTGGCTACGTGACACTTCAAATTAACTTACTCTCGAGTAACGCCTGCTGATCTTGGCTTCCTGTTAGAGAGAGGGAGGGAGGGAGGGAGGGGAGGGAGAGGAGAGAGGGAGGGAGAGGAGGGAGGGAGGGAGAGGAAGGAGGGAGAGGAGGGAGGGAGGGAAGGAAGAGGAGGGAGAGGAGGGAGGGAGGAGGGAGGGAAGGAAGAGGAGGGAGAGGAGGAAGGGAGAGGAGGAAGGGAGGGAGGGGAGAAAAGGTGTGTATGTATGTCATAGTCTCAACATGTAAGAAACAAAGGCACACTTAGTCACAACTACCTATCCATGTTATACTGTAAGCGATTGAGAAAGTGGAATAGAATAAACCTTTCTGAACAGCAAACCTATACAGGCTTGACAAACAACAACAAAGGGAACAGAGAGCGAGAGACCTACTCCAAGCAGGGCGGGCTATGTAAACAGGTCTCTGAAAACAAGTCCATATTGGGGCAGTCCACGGGAGGCATGGCTCTTCTCCCACTCTCTCAACCACACAAACAATGACTCACTACTACTGCTGAGTGTTTTTACAAGACAGCATACCAGCTAGTGCATGAGTAGGTCTATCTCCACAAGTATGAGTTGTAGAGTTAATGGTATAGGTCTAACGTATTGTAGAGTTAATGGTATAGGTCTTAACGTGTTGCAGAGTTAATGGTATAGGTCTTAAAGTGTTGAGAGTTAATGGTATAGGCCTACACATAAGTACATAAGAACTTGTACAGCAACAGCAAAAAAATTGATGGTATGTACTCACTACTACAATGCATAATGGTGGGTATTAGTACAAGGGAGCATGAGCACAGCTTGCACCGCGGAGAGCAACAAATGCTAGTAAAAGACTGTTTGTGTGTTAGCTCAGTCAGCAATAAGTCGAGGACACACAGCATCTAGTGTGGGCCACATAGTCGGAGGAGAAGTGGAGTGCTCGTGTAGCTTCGATACGAGTCTTCCAAGGCTTTCGTTGGCCAAAAGACGCTGGATTTCCCCAACCATAATATGACTCATTAGACGTATGAATAGTGACAGATTATCAAAGGTGCAAATTTCGTAGTTTAACTCTTTGTGTGGATAAAACTATAAAACTATGCTGCAATTACGAAGGCTCCACTTTTCAGCATCCGTGAAAACCACAAACATCATGTGCTACGAGAAGTCGAGACTACATAAGGTGTCATCGTCATTGATAAGTTGCAAGTGGGAAAACGTGTTGTACTCGTGCTTTGCTTTCATACCTCATCACTCTACACTTTATGATCTGTACACTTACACAATTCTACATAACATCGCAGTACTACATGTATTGATAAAGGCATGCAATAACCCAATGGCTGTTGTTACATGTTTTCGATGGACAGATTTTGCTTTCACTTCTCAAAAGTTGTGCAAAGTTGTGCCCACACACGAACAGACTAACAACACGAGATCAACATTGCAGCGTAGGACATGGCAACTACGGAAACATCAATTCGGCACTGTATAGTATACAGTCGTAACAACAACCTCTCTAATCCTGACACCAAAACGTAGTACGGGAGAGACTGTCCATATTAGGGAGGTGTCCTTATCTCAGGGGTTGAATTGCATGCAAGAGTAGTCGTTCAGTCGTTCCGCAAGAATCCCCCATAATTATTACACAGGACACCTGCAGAACCACTGTTTAGGGGAAGAAAAGATATCGTTCTCCACTGTTTCAGGGGTTATCGCATTTCCATTGTACGTATCGACTACCCACTACTTAACACAGGCACTTTGACTCGATCAATAAGAACTCAGATATATACTCAATTGGCCAGAGACGGTTACTGAACACCAACTACACCCACACAGTGCTCCCAGCAATAGAGTCAGCGTGCACTATATAGTGCGCCCTATCGCCAATAGGTTGCAGGCTATATATCTCTCTCTTGGCATCCTCTGGTAAACAAAGGCAGGAGAGAACACATGTGGCCCATTCATGTCCAGCTGCAGTCACAGGATGGAACACTATACAGTTCTTACAGCGTTGAACCTCTCCATATTAGGTGCTCTTCTACATTATGTTACTTAGATTGTGCTGTTCACACGTTTGACTAATCCAGACACCCCTGAAATGAAGACACCTAATAATATGGACACCTTTTCTTTTCCAAGAGCACTTAATATGGACACCTTTTCTTTTCCAAGAGCACTTCTTGAGCCCCTGGACAAGCTAATAATGGAAACTTCCCTCCCATTGGTGTCTGTAATAGAGGGGCTTCATAAGATACCCTTCAGCCAGAGGCTTTGTGGCTCAGTGTTACAGCTAACAACTGCAGAAATCTCGTACAAAATTTGGGACAAACTGGTAAGTTATACTCACGGTCAAAATATGATTTGGACACATTAATCTACAGCCAAGAGTTAATAGTCAGATATTGGCTCTAGCCCTAAACGTAGTGGGACAGGTTAGCTACTGTAGTTGAAGCCATGGCACATATATACAATGGCTGGAGAATGTTATAGTCAATAGAAACATTATCGGAACTATTATAATTACGTGATCAGCTCAACTAAAAACGTAGAGGGAGAGGTGAGCTAGGAATACAGGTGAAGAGGATTATATGGCATAGAATGAATGGAGAATGTTATAGCCAATAATTGGAACTAGTCTATATATACCAATAGTTGATTGGCTCTAACTGAAATCGTATGGGCGATAGCGGAGCTATCAAGATACAAGCTCAAGCCCTAGGATGGCTAAACAGCACACTGTAAATCGATAAACCAGCAATTTTCAACTGTACTTTTGTACATGACTGTTCAAGGTATGCCGATACACAAAATGAGGCACGAGGCAAAGCCAACTACGCCCGTGACAATTCAGAGAATAAAGACTGCCCTGGGTGAGATTGTAACCATGAAACTCTGATTTTTAAGCTCTGTTCCAATACCGAGCTACATACACCACCACAGGAGGTCAGATGGCAGGGCTTCAGACCCAAAGCTGAACCGAAAGCGCAAAGGAAAACAAAAACCAACTATGAAACAGTTGGTGGCACCTAACCAACCGCTGATTTTAGTCATGTATGTACACACTGCTCTTTACTCTATACCATACAAGTGATAAATTCATATTGTTGTCTCCGCTGCTAATGACCCATTGTTTCACACACCGTCCAGAAACATTGCACACACCGACGGCTCACCAATAGCCACGCCCGCCTCGAAGCTCTCGCGCAAACAACGGTCGTACAGTAGCTACAAACACAGAGTGCAGTACTGTCAGAACGAAACGAGCGAGCCACGCCATAGATACACACAAGACGCTGAGTCCTTACTGGAACCACGAATACTCCGGGACAATGGTAATCGTAGCAGCCATCTCGCTCGAACACACGGGCCGTCGACAAGTGTACAACAACCGGGAGTTTAGTACGTCCACGCGTCTCTCGTACAAGCTATATAGCAGCTTTGAAAACTGAACACAATACGTTCAAACTGCCCGATCACATGAATCTTCGCCCCACAGCGAATCACGACTCCTTCCGAGATTCATCGCTCGCGCCCCCGGCCTAGCTCAACCGCAAAAAGCAACAGCCTGCCACCGCAACTGTGTTTATCTGTAGTCCATTCACTGCAGCACTCATTTTGGGCCAGATACGATCGAGGCCCTAGTGACGCGACGCACAAGGCAGACAGACCGATACTTCACCTTTTGCTCACAGTCTTGCTCTCCGGCTTCTCGCTGGCCACGCGGCTGAGCTCAATTAGCACCGTCCGCCGCGCCAGCGCTAGAACACAACCGCCGCCACTGCAGTATACTATGTAAACGACTAGGCATCTCAGAAAATTGGCAAGCGCTACCGCCTGAGCGGTGACCAGACGCCGGAAATGGAAAGCAGCCAGTGGTTTTCGCCACGTCCAGCCAATGTATATACATGAATTAGTGCAAAATAGAGTTTTATTTCTCCTTTCAACTTACTATACTGTACGCTTACATAACTAGTAGTATCACTACAAGCAATTGAACTAGCTGATAAACCATAGCGTTAGCTACCATTCTCTTACTGCTATAATATACATGGTCAGCTAGGCCATATCCCAGAGCATAGGGTGAAAATACTCACATGATGGCAGGAAAAATCAGCAATGAAGAGTGTCGGAGCTCTCAACCTAGCTAGTAGCTATAGCGACTGCAGCTAAAGATGGTGCACAGTGTAAGAGCTTATAAGGCTCCAGGAAAAGCTATCGTTGTGTGCAAATACAACACACAGACTCTGCTTCGAGTGAGGTCCAGTAGCTGCGCGCCGCATGTTTACGTACTGCAATATAAAATTGCTGAAACAAGAATAAATGCCCTGTTGGAAACTATGTAGGAGCATAATTATTATTACTACTGTGTTGGATATCCCTAGGCAACCGACATGTATGAAGCTAGGTACTGGGGGATTGTATCAGCCTATACAATCCTACATGTGCAAGCAGGGTTCATACATGTCATTTGCCCAGGGGATATCCAACAAATCGTACGCATAATGCATGGGAAGTGTGCAGCAGTAGTAAGTGGGATATGCCTACTCTGGCATACTACACACAGATTAAAGCGAATGTATTACGGGTGTAGCAGCAGACTCACAAAATATTATGTAATTGCCCGCAATTGTGCCTCATACGCTATATCTTTATAGTCATCATACACACCACATTCACACACACACACTGTGAATGCTGTGCGCATGCGTAGAAAGACAGAGTTTGAATCAATCCAAATGTATGAGGGTGTCAGTGTGCTACCATAAGCCACCAGTGCTCCATTAGACCTCCTATCCTAGTACAGTATGTAGCTATTCTACAAGCAACCGCCAGATCTTCAGTAAACCTCTTGGGCAAGCTGAGTCCAGAGAAGACGGTGTACAAAACACTATTCCGTGTGCTTCTGAGATGAAAGACTATTCATAGGCTCAGTATTTGGTACGTAGTCTGCGTTGTATAGCCATAGTACTAGGTGTACCTAACATACGTACTCGGCATGAGAATAATGTACATACGTTTATATACGTAAATGAACAGCAGAAAGCATGTAGACTTTTGTCTCATAAGCCAACCTACCACATAGCCCACTTCCTATTCATCTGTGCAACTGAATGCACACGCAATCTGCAAAAGTCCAATCTCGGGATGGATCTCTAGGGCAGCCCCTTTCTTGAATAACTTGGTTAAAAACGTACATAAATAGCTATAAATAGCAGATACACCCTCAGAGTGTTGTGCTGTAGAGTGGCATCTACATCATGTTCTAGGTACACTCAGGCAGGCAATAGGCATTCAACAAAGTGCAGGAAATGAGCTGTTCCTCCAGCAAAACCACAGGAAATCGAGTCCCCAGACTGTGGCTAGTGAGCTCATTACTGGAGTTGGAGAGAAATCCATAGAGGACATAACCCAGCTTCCTGTGGTGTCATGTATACACAGGACAGCATGTGGTGTCACCTGTCCAGTATCTTAATGTCCAGCCTCCTCTGAACCATCTTGAAGAGGTATATATAGGAACATCTGAATAAAGGACAGGTTGGGATCAGGCATTTTGGAGCTCATTGGAGGTTATAATGTCAGTATATAGTATAATAGAAAAGTGAATACAGCGGAACCTCTGAATAAAGGACTTTGTTGGTTGTTCTTTGGAGGTTAGAATGTACTAGAAAAGTGAACGTTTGGGACTTCAAAGTATTTCCTTTAGCCAGAGGCTTGTTCAGTTCGTCCTTTATCAGGAGAGTCCTACACATCAGAGTCCAAGCATCAAACGTGATTCCTACCACATTGGAAAAGCCACAGGAAATGGAGTCCCCAGACTGTGGCTAGTGAGCTCATTACGTACTGCCTGACTGGATATTACAATGAAACAACACAGCTTCCTGTGGTTTCATGTATACTATTTGAAAGTCCAGTCTCCTCAATACAGCGGAACCTCTGAATAAAGAACAGGTTGGGATGATGTATTTCGCCTGAGTAGGGAGGTCGTTCGTTGGAGGTTAACATATGTACTAGAAAAGTGAACGTTTGTGACGTCAAAGTATTTCGAGGCTTTTTCTATGTGACTGTCCTTTGTTCGGAGAGTCTTACATCGGAGTCCAAGCATCCAATGTGATTCCTACCACACATTGCTGACACATTCAGTGGTACAGGCAATAGCCAAAGCTCCCTAATTTGGGGACAATGGAACAGCCGGTGTTACGGAGACTAGACTGGCCCCTCAACCCGGCAAGATGGCTCCACGTTATAGCTCTGACAGGCACGGATGCACCACTCCTGGAGCCTGCTTATAATTACTAAGTACGGTAGTATGTACTTAGTATATACGTAGGGATGACACAGGTAGTCCTGTTCCACACTTGTTTAATTCGAAGAATAATTATCATTAGTGTCCGGGCATGAACAATAAGCAGGGAGTTGTATCCTGTGAGTTGCACTTTATGGCAAAAAAGCAATGACACACGAGATATAAAATATACAGCGCTCGCGATGCAGTAGCAAAGTGGATGATGTAAGGTTACAAACTTGCCAACCCTGAAAACTACAGATTACCTCACGCCTGTTGCCAGGCTGTTGCCAGGCTGTAGACTTGAACTACCACAAATCCTTCAGAAACTGGGCTTCCACAACTGTACAAATCTGACTATACAAATCCCGTCTATATAATGTACCCCAAGGGATAATGGTAACGCAAAACTCTGAATAATCTTCGAAAGTATCCTTTATTCACGAGGCACGATTTATTAAGACTATTATTTGTGTGGGTGTATCAAACTAAGGAGTTTGGGCCGAACAAAGTGTCCAGTTACTTGTACAGTGCACAAGTAAATAACTAGGAATGCACACGCGCATATTTTGCGTCGCACCTGCCAGCCAATGCGTAAACAGTCCGACTGAGGCCGCTCGTGCTCTCGCTCTACTGACTGCGCGTGAAGCCAGACTTCCTACGAATCTGCGCGCACGGCGGAAGCTAGACTTCCTACGAATGAAGTTGACATTCCTAAGCGTGACTAATTGACATTCTTAAGCGTGACCGACACGTACGTACGCATATCGCGAGAATACAACCCGGAGTAGTTGCCTTGCGCTAATGCGCTCGGCAAATATACAACAAAGTACTACCTCACTTATAGTGATAGGTAATATTGTGGTTGTGTGGGTAAATCAGACACACTGCCAGTGCCGTTGGGAAGAACAAAGTGTTATTAGGTGCTCTTGATTGGGTATTGTATGTGGGATCCTCCGAGTAATGGGAGAGTCATTATTCTGAGGTCAATACTTTATTGAGAGGTGAACACGGTTAAAAATCAGCTGGTAATTAATCGGTCGTTATAGAGGGGTTGTGACTGTTGGGGGGGAGTTAATCGGAGGTCCAGTTGTAGAGGTGAAACTGACCTGTTTTCAGCAGGAGATCCAGAAGGAGTTCCCTTATCACCAACCCTTCGCACCGACTTGGGGGAGCTGTCGGTAACCTTACGACTAACGACAGGAGACTCCCCCTTCTTGACAGGGACGTGAGCCGGGGAATGTTTAGCCTTTCGCTTCCATCCTGGATCTGTGGAAGAAACAAGAGATTACACGTGTCCTACATACAGAGGGAGCGCCCCTCTAATTAGACCCAATAACCTAAAAAACTAGAACGAATGCAACACAGTTTTTGGCGAACGAACGCAGCTTGTGGTTGAGTATCTGATGGTGGGCAATAATAGGAGTTGTGGGCAATAATAGGAGTTCCGTAGTGATGCAGAGGAACAGCACGAGAGAGTCACGGGTGCATATGTGCACAGCAATGAGCGCAGCAAGGATTGCGAAATTTCTACAAATATTACGTAATTTTTTGAAATTGTTTGAAGACGGCAGGACGCCTGTATTTATTTAGGACATTACGGCAACGTTGGATACAACAATTGATGCCATAGTTTGTGTCCTATATACCAGTAGTTTCTTACGCGTATTTGGAACGTAAAACATGATGGTAAGTACGACACTAGGATCATCGGACATAATTATTACGAGGAAAAAATTGTGCATTCGTACGAGTAAGTATGCTCGTTTCTATCATAGCAAAAAAAAGATTAAATATCAAAATGATGTAATGGGCTATAGAATGAGGCTCCATGCTTCAGTGATAGCCAATCAACATTTTAGGACGGAATTTCCATAACTTGCAACGACTGTTGTGGGGGCATGTTAGAATAATGTATTTAGTAGGAAATTTATTCGCAGGGAGGACCAATTATATCCAAAAATATATAAATGGAACCCTATAAGGACACCCCTGCAATTAGGACACCTCTCTATACACCTTCTTCCCCCAAGAGCAGTTTGTTCTATGTAGTATGCAAAACTCGAGGACACCTTTACTAACATGGACACTTCTTACACCCTATTGGTGTCTGGATTAGAGGAGTTCCACTGTATATAGTGAGGTTGTCATCACTACCTGTTTTTGCAACGTTTGGCAAACACCAATAATTTCTTTACAAAAGGCAGCCCTACCAAGCAACATAAACACACGCATCATGACACTTTGACAGTGGACAGGCAGAGGTTTAGTGCAAATACACTGTATCTGAGACATAATGTATATGTACCTCAGCTTCCTTCTTTGCAAGGAGAAATTCAGGTTTTTCGCTCTCTTTCTCTCTTCTTCCAGTTGCGTTTCTAGTCTCTTCTTGTCTCTAGTCAGAGCTGAGTTCTCAGACTGTGTGTAGGGAGGGAGGGAGGGAGGGAGGGAGGGAGGGAGGGGAGGCAATTGAGAGGGAGGGAGGGGAGGGAGAGAAAGAAAGTAGAAGAAGGATAAGGTTGCAGAAGAGAGAGAAAAGAAGAGATTAGATAGAGAGAGATGAAAGGGTCATAAGGAGTAAAGGGAACGTGGCAGGATGGCAGGGAGGATGGACGGAGGATGGACGGAGGAAGGCCTATTGAATTAGTCGGTCCCAAGAGCATATCAACTATGCCGCTCACAATCTTCAAGTCATAACAGTACCATACATACAGCCGTACAGTGTAAACCATCTACCAATAGGACGGAAACATTGTCCATAGGGAGATGTGCAAATACTGTTAGTGAGGTCACACTACATATCCAGGGGTAACTTTAGAGAGTTGTTCGACTGTAACAAACAGACAAATGCACGGGAGTACATACATACCTGAACTTTCTGCAGCTTGTGGTTGAGTTGGTGGATCTGCTCCTGTGTATCTGATGGTGGGCAATAATAGGAGTGGTGGGCAATAATAGGAGAGTGCCGTAGTGAATGCAAAGGAACAGCAGCTAGACTAACAAGGAAGTACATACACATACAGTACTGCACATACTCTTATCCCCGACTATTGAAAATATACTACATTTCTTTGTCCTAGATCTCAAAATTGAGATCTCCAATCAGATCGCAAAACGGCCAATCAAAAACATCGCGTGCATCTGTATCGACTTCTTTTATGCGGGGCTTTGTATGAAAGACACATACTATAGGAGTGGTTTGGATACTACAGATATTACGTTGTCATGAGGACCAGGTTTTGCGTCAAAAGTGTGCATACCACAGATGCTACTTCTCCCCTTGTGGGTGGAGCGGCTGGGTACAAGACTAAGAAGCAGACAGTGAGAGAAGGAAGGAGAGAGAGAGTTAGCTGAGACTCAGCAGCAACTGAGACAGAAGGTGAATAGTGATAACTGCAGGATGTGTCATGTTTTGTGACTAGAGGTCCTCCTGACTGCAGGCTGATGTCTTCTAGATGAGACTAAGACAGGAAGTATACACTAGGCCACGGAAGTTCAGGAAGAACTCTTGGGAACCTAGTGTTTGTTCATTCATTACATCAGAGGAAATGATATCGAGTGATGTCTAGTAACGCCACAACTAAGTCTAAAATAAGTCTACTATGCAGGAAGCTGTGATACTAAAGTACACAACACAAGGTGGGAAACAGAGTATAGCGTTATATTTGAGCCACAGTATTGGTTCACTACGGAACTTTGAGGAACTTGAAACATTGCAGTTGGATACAAATCACGATCGACGGTCGCTGAATCTCATAGGTTTGATCACTCGAAAGCTTCCAGCCGGAGTGTATGTTACGAGAGCTACAGTACGTACAATGGCTTGTGTAACGGGAAAGGGTTAAAGGTTCGTGATATCATTAGAGTTTATAGGTGCCTTCGACAGCTAGTAGCTTTGACTCGAAAAGAGGATTTTCTACTGCATCAAAATGAAACACAGCTGAATGCATATACACGTATCAAAGCTCTGAATCAGATCCAAACTTGTAGTTTAATCATATCCATATTCCAGGAGTACTATAAACCTCATAACTTGTCATATCCATGCACATTGCAAGAGTACTATAAAACTTATATCTTGTCAGGAAAAAGCCCACGGAACAAAAGGGTGGGATATAATTATCGGTTGAAAGAGAATAGCGACAGGACAGCCAAAATCTCTGATGCAATTAGTTTGTTCTATCATTAGTTATTAGTTCAATTGGCACTCAGTGGTACTGTATATGTGTGGTGTGCAACCAGACGTCATACATTCTCTAAGGACACAGCTGACTTTAGCCAAACCTACGTAAGCTGTAATAGAGTATAATAGATGTACACCTGTACACCCTATATAGGTGTGTATGTGTGTATGTGCATTATTCCCAAAGCCAACAGTCACCTTTCTAAAGTCGTATATACTACAGTATACGTACTTACAACAAGGAGTTTATATGGGACCCAAGGAGTTTATATGGGACTCACTGTACAACAAGGAGTTTATATGGGACCCAAGGAGTTTATATGGGACTCACTGTACAACAAGGAGTTTATATGGGACCCAAGGAGTTTATATGGGACTCACTGTACAACAAGGAGTTTATATGGGACCCAAGGAGTTTATATGGGACTCAAGGAGTTTATATGGGACTCACTGTACAACAAGGAGTTTATATGGGACCCAAGGAGTTTATATGGGACTCACTGTACAACAAGGAGTTTATATGGGACTCAAGGAGTTTATATGGGACCCACTGTACAACAAGGAGTTTATATGGGACTCAAGGAGTTATATATGACTCACTGTACAACAAGGAGTTTATATGGGACCCAAGGAGTTTATATGGGACTCACTGTACAACAAGGAGTTTATATGGGACCCAAGGAGTTTATATGGGACTCACTGTACAACAAGGAGTTTATATGGGACCCAAGGAGTTTATATGGGACTCACTGTACAACAAGGAGTTTATATGGGACTCAAGGAGTTTATATGGGACCCACTGTACAACAAGGAGTTTATATGGGACTCAAGGAGTTATATATGACTCACTGTACAACAAGGAGTTTATTATTGGACTGCTGTGCAACCACAACAAGCCACGTATATGGGATTGGTGTAAAACAAGCAGTTTTCATTGGACTTGCTAAGTTTGTATGGCATATAAACTGACCTTGTCCCGGGCCTGTCATAACCAGTATACACACAGTTCTCCCAGTAGTGGCAATACTAGTTGGATCCTAGTATATACACTATAGTAGCTTCACACGCTTGTAGATATGGTGGTTACTCTAACAGCAAGAGTATTATCAACTACAAGGCAACAATCTGGGACCGGCTACTGGTGGTAGACCACAACAAATACAGCTGAACTGAACTCAAGTGCAGTTGAAGAGGCTCTTATACTCTGACTCCGTCGCTGTGCATGCATACCACATGCCACTGCCTTCCTGTCGAGGTGTACTGTCACACCTTTTGTCGTGGCGGCCACTGCAGTGTACACAAGTCGTGGTCTATAGCCAGTGACTAATGGGCCATGAACACACATGGGACTTTGCCTCCTACAGCTCTCACACACAGTCACCATTCAGGCTACCCACAGAATACATACAATATTATACCACGATATGCAATATATATGTTACACCTCAGTGCATACCTTACATACGCAATAAAATTATATTACAACTGTCTCGCCGAATACAAGTGCATATACGTGTACAATATACGTACAATATACGTACAATATACGTACCACACATACAAACTGTGCTATATAATGCAGACTGTATAAGCCATTATACCATAGTATTCGGACTGTTGTATATATATAGACTTGTTGAATACGTGTGTACATATGTATACACATGGGACACAGGGTTACATATGTAGTAATAATAATAATGCACACATCAAATTACTGTAATCCCATGAATGGTACGTGTATAAACACCAGCAGCAATATAAAACACTGTACTGAACGTGCAATATAATACGTGTGTTATGTAACTGTACAATACATGTGCATGTCAGGTTTGAAAGGTGCAGAGGCTTAAGGGTCGTTCCATTGAGATGAACATGTGGGAGGGTTGATCATGTTTCGATCACTTGTGCAGCACTCTAGTAAACCTCTTTGGGTGGCCGTACAATTGTACAGTGGAACCCCTCTCTAAGGACACCCCTGAAATGAGGACACCTCTCTAAGGACACCCCTGAAATGAGGACACCTCTCTAATATGGACACCCCAGAAATGAGGACACCTCTCTAAGGACACCCCTGAAATGAGGACACCTCTCTAATAAGGACACCTTTCCTTTCCCCAAGAACAGTTAAATTTAACCCCTGAAATAAGGACACCTCACTAATATGGACACTTTCTTCTGTCCCATTGGTGTCTGTATTAGAGGAGTTCCACTGTAATGTACAACTGTTGTACGTGACCAATACATAATACAAGCAAGGGACACTACAGATCCAAGAGCCCCTGTTCTCTACCATACATACTGTGTTCAGTGGTATGTTAGGTACCTGTATCAGAGGAGGCAGAGTGATCGCCATGGAGACCTGATGACCCAGGGACCCTCATACTAGCAGTACTGGCTGTTCTTCTCCCTGTGAACATACATACAACATAACTGTGTTACTTGTAATACATAACACCAGTCTCATGCAAAAATGGACCTACAGTATAGCGAGCTGCTGTGACACAATGAAAAGCACTAAAGTGCAAACCCTCGGCGAACTGCGCATGCACGGTACCACTAGTTGATGGGCTGGGCCTATTTGTACGCGTTTACCCGTGATCTCCCGCTAGTAGCTCGCGGAGAGTCTGACACGGGCTAGCTACAGTAGTAGACTAGCATGCGGAAGTCGATACACACCCTTCGTTGTGACTTCTTGTGCATTTAAGTTACACAGAGCGAGCGGAGGTAAGCCTGTGCTAATTTGCATATTGGCTTGTTCACTTGCTTTTCACTCCGCAACTTTTGAACGCAGTAGTTGTACGAAAATCGCCTTTTTCAAAATGAAGCCAGTGTAGCGATGAACCCGTTGGTATCGCTGTTTTATTATCTCGTTGTCGCATAAAACGTGGTAACAGACAGACAGACACACTTACAAACCAAGTACTGTAACCCTCGCTGCGCATGCACACCGAGGATTAATCACTTCTTCTTTCATCAACCATAGCTGATAGTTACTAGAACACAATGCAGCAAATATAGGTATACACGCATAAACCAAGCCATAATTATTATGATATCTAGCCTTATCATATGCACCAATCAAACTTACAGCATCTCAACAGCAACATCTTGTTTATTGGATGGCAAACAACAACTACATATGTATGTATGTAGATACTGCACTTATATGCACTACTGAAACACCTACTGAGCTATATTCTAACTTGAGAGCTACATACATATGTATCACTAATAGATAGCAACGAAGCACAGTACATTCGTAAATCTTGAACTCTGTGCTCTAAAGACAAGCTCTGGGCTTTTATTCAACTCTGAGGTGCACTATTAAGCATAACCGTACGTGTTAGGGAGTGTATATACCCAATGAGGGACTTACGGTTTTCCATATTTTGACTGGTGAAATAAATAACAGCAGCCCACGTGGGAATATCACGTATAGAAAGCCTTTTCGTGGGTCAATACGACCGTGAATAGCCGCAGTGTTGAATCACAGTTGTTAATCAACCCTTTGTACGGGAAAATCGCCTTTTATGAAATGAAGCCAGTGTAGCGATGAACCCGTTGGTATCGCTGTTTTGTTGTCTCGTTGCACGTAGTCGCAGAAAACGTGGTATGGCTGTGTATGAGTGTATAAGAATAAATTTGTAAGTGTATACAGGAATGGAGGGTCACTTTTGTTCTCTCTCTTATGCTATACACGTATATATTTTCATGCTATAATACACACATACATAACGATGCTATAAAAATATACGTAACTTTGCTCTACATACGTACCAATGCCAGGGCTGGGTCTTGGACTGGGTTTAGCCGAGGGTTTGGCAATGGTGGCCGGCTTGACAGACTTTATCTTCACTTCCACGGTCGTGGTCTTTGTCTTGTGGTGGTCCGTGCCATGTGAGCCTGTCTTAGCCGGTTGGCCGTCTCCTGCCTTTGGTCCCTCCGCCTCCCGATGACACTTGCAGCTTACGCTCTGTGAGAGTCAAGGATCGAGGGAGTTAAAGAGAATGTGGCAGTATAAATCTAGAAATGTCACTAAAAAAACGGAATTCAATCACTGTGCCCCTATTGTGTTTGTCTAATCCTTGCTAAGTTTAGCTCTTGTCATTATACGACGCATTCCCTTAAGGAGTGAAAAATGGAGTGACCACAAACTTCACATGCTTTATCAGTTGAGCATAATCGGCTGGATAAAATAGGCATTTCGGCCGCTAAAAAAAAGGTGTCCTTATTAGAGAAGTGTCATCATTTCAGGGGTGTCCTCATAGAGAGGGGTTCATACATATCAACA